CCCAGTATAGCTCATAAACCCAGAGTCTCGATCGCCCCCCGGTGGATGGTCTCAGTATAGCTCATAAACCCAGAATCTCGATTGCCCCCTGGTGGATGGTCCCAGTATAGCTCATAAACCCAGAGTCTCGATCGCCCCCCCGGTGGCTGGTCTCAGTATAGCTCATAAACCCAGAGTCTCAATCGCCCCCCGGTGGATGGTCCCAGTATAGCTCATAAACCCTGAGTCTCAATCGCCCCCCGGTGGATGGTCCCAGTATAGCTCATAAACCCTGAGTCTCAATCGCCTCCCGGTGGATGGTCCCAGTATAGCTCATAAACCCAGAGTCTCGATTGCCCCCTGGTGGCTGGTCCCAGTATAGCTCATAAACCCAGAGTCTCGATTGCCCCCTGGTGGATGGTCCCAGTATAGCTCATAAACCCAGAGTCTCGATTGCCCCCTGGTGGATGGTCTCAGTAGAGCTCATAAACCCTGGATGTCAATCGCCACCCGGTGGATGGTCCCAGTATAGCTCATAAACCCAGAGTCTCAATCGCCCCCCGGTGGATGGTCTCAGTATAGCTCATAAACCCAGAGTCTCGATCGCCCCCCGGTGGCTGGTCCCAGTATAGCTCATAAACCCAGAGTCTCAATCGCCCCCGGTGGATGGTCTCAGTATAGCTCATAAACCCAGAGTATTGATCGCCCCCTGGTGGCTGGTCCCAGTATAGCTCATAAACCCAGAGTCTCAATTAGAGTAGTGGAAGGGATGCTTTTGAACACTTTTCCTGAGGCATGCTGTGTTTTAATGTTTGCTCAGCGCAGGATAACAGCAGAACTCGTGCTCTGAGGAAATATTTACAAGCAAATAATGATCAATAATGCACAATAAGGCCTATCTGTTTCCATTAAACATATAAAGCAATGAAACATACTATTTGGCCAGTGGAAAAGATTAAGAAAAACTTTATCTGAAATGTATTTTATACTATATTGATTTATTTATTCAAAAACAAGGCAAGGATCGGCTACTACATGATTTTTAGCAATGTAATGTGACGCACATCCGTATCTCATATTTTCCTAATGTCTTGTACCGTTAAATATGCAAATGATATGCAGATGAGGATATGCATAGTAAACGAGCCGTTGTAAGCTCATATATGGTTATTTCGGGGTGGAGACGTGTGAACACACTCTTCCTCTGACTGGGGTTATAAAGAGAATATTTCGCTTTTATAAGTCTGAATATTATTTGGCGTACGCCATGTTTGGCTTTCAGACGTACGTACACTTTTAGTGAGGATCCTACACACAGGTTTATTAAGGAGACCCCAAAAGTCATTCATTTTCGTTTAACTTTATGCAATTGAAGAGAAATTCATGTTACAGTGCAGCGGATTTCTGCTGAAACTCAACAAAACACACTATATTAACACACAATAACACAAAGCGCTCTGAAGCTCAAAGCTAACTCAAGCCGTCAGTGTGAAACATGTCAGATGTTGGGAGGCTTGTATCTGAGCATCTACTGGCATTCAAACAATTGAATCCAATACACATAATGAATCTAAATCAAGTTTAGCAGATTCCTTTTCCAGATCTTTCTCTCTCACGATTGGAGTTCGAACGAAATCCACTGGCAAAAGTGGTTTCAAACCGCACAAAAGACAACTGTAACCCGCTCACTGCTGAAAGGACCAGCACTAAACGCTCATCTCCTCAATGAATGAAGGCTTTTTGATTGTCAACGGTTCCAAAGACGAGACAAAACACAGAGATCATTAAAGTGATTTTGATTTAAACACACTGATGAAAACACAGATCCGGCCCACATATGGTACACATGGATTCCACATGGCCCAGATCCGGCCCACATCTGGTACACGTGGATTCCACACGGTCCAGATCCGGCCCACATATGGTACACATGGATTTCACACGGCCCAGATCCGGCCCACATCTGGTACACGTGGATTCCACACGGTCCAGATCCGGCCCACATATGGTAGGTGGATTCCACACGGTCCAGATGTGGGCCGGATCAGGCCTGACACTATGTTGCTGTCTGGGCAACTTTGACTTTCATTTCATAAAAGAAAAAAAAAACAGACACATCTTCTTTTGTGCTCTTTAAATGATGACAGAATGATTTTTGTGGCGAACTTGTAAATCCCAAAACCACACACAACAAAAGACTCCAATAAGCTCAGCCGATCCAAAGTGCATCATGTTGGTCCTTAAAAGTCAGTGATCGCCCTTACCTGATCTCCAGATGCTTCAGTTTCAGCCATCTGGCCTTTTGTCCTTATATTCTTGACAATTACTTACCTTTACCTATTAAAAACAAAGGAGAAATTGCACGTTGCAATGAAAACCCATTTATTATTCTCAAATTCAACCCTGAAAGGGAATGGCCGCAGCGGCGAGGCGTTCGACAAGTGGCTGGCAGCTGGAAAACGACCCGGCGAGTCGGCGAGCGGGTCGAGAGAGATCAGAACTGAACTAGCCAAAGGATCCGGGTGAGTTAGTGAGATTGAGGGGTCAGGAGGAGGAAGAGGAGGAGGAGGAGGGACTGCGTGAGCCGCTCGTATGTGTGGGGTTGGAGGTTAGTACTTTAGTAAATAACAGCAGGTCAGACACAAAAATGGTTGTTAGTACAGTTACAACAAAGGTTTCATTCGGATTAGTAACAGAATTTGGGTTTTAGTCATTTAGTAGAGTAGGAGCAGTCAATTGGGGAAATCCTTTGCGATTTGATTCGACAAAGAGTTTGAATTGTCACGTTTGGTGGGTTTTGAGGTTAAGAGGAAGGAAAATGAACCATCCAAAAACCATCACAACATGGGGAAGAAGCCATGCAGTTGGATGAGCAAATGAAGATGGCGTCAAAATGGGAATGTTCAACCAATGGACACAATCAAACGTCTGAGCAAAAGCGCTCAGCAGCCGATGGCAGAGAGGAGTCGAAACTGAGTCACATCACGGCACAGATGGCAAGAAGAGGGCATTTAGTTGATTAAGGGGTTAAATCTGAAGGTGGGACACAACAAAATGAGCACTTTAAAGTCCACAGGTTTGCGTGCAAGCCGAGACTCTTTCGGCTTGGGCATCGCAGACTCCCTCTCGCTGCAAGCGGATGAAAGCATGCACACAGAAGGACTTGGAAACGTCACACAGATGAGTGTAAATGAGCGATGCTAACGTTCATCTGCGCTGAGAGCTGTCAGTCATCTACGTCTGTCCGAATGACAATTACCCGGCCTGCACTGGGCCAAATAACCGATCCCTCGTTCTCCCAGACCGGCCTGAAATATTGTTATTCTAGGGCGCCGAACCCCTGCCAGAGTTCATTAGATCTGTATAATTGCATACTAATGCTAGCGGCCCGGGCTGATAACATCATCCTGAAGGAGCCAGAGACCTGTCAATCACACTAGCCCTCGCCACCTTTATTATTCCCAAGCAGGGTCTTTACTGAGGTTTAATTATTCCTGTTACTGGGGGCGTGGCTTTATGCTTCTCTGTAGGTTCATAAATATGCATATATGTATATGTGCTGGGCAACATATACATACACAAATACCAAAGTAAGAGTGTGTTAGAGTGTCGTTATTGAGTTAGTATTGATGTTAATGAACAGTTCCTACATCCTAGAAATTCTCCTGATTCTATGCAGCGCTGGGCGGAGCAGGGGGCGGAGCCTAGTGCTTGACGAGTCCAGTGACAGGCAGTAAAGGACATCCACTCTGAGACACACACCTCACACTGAGTTCACTGTGTTTTTAAAACTGTTTATTCAAATATAAATGTGAATATTGTATGTAAAACTGAAAATTAGAAATGTTGCTCCCGCAACTAACTGAAATAAACACTCTTGAGTTGAAGTGCTAAAATTAGAAAGAGTACAATAATCTAAAATTAAATATATTTACGTACTGTATATGGAAAGTAACTGAAATAAACATGTTGATACTAATAGTAAAACTGAAATATTTACATTTCCATTTTACATTACATTTGTTTATGTTATTGTTTACTTTTATCCCTAATTTATCCCTAACGACAATAAAATAAAATAAAATAAAAATATTATATTGAAGTTGAAGAACTAAAATGACTAATAGTAAAAGTGAAATAAAAATATTATATGTAAAATTTACACTTAAAAATGTAAATGAAATTTAGAAATGTTGCCTTGGCAACTAACTGAAATAAACATGTTTAAGAATTAAAATTATGAAAAGTAAAACTGAAATAAAAATTAAAGCTATATATATAAAATTCCAAAAACTTAATAAAAAAATAAAATGACAAAAGCACACAACAAAATGACAAAAACTTAAAATAAAATTCTAATGAAATCTGAAAGTATTCAAATAAAAGCCAATTTAAATAACCACTATAATAGTATGTAAATGATAGTAACCCAGCAGGGTTTGTTCTGATGGAGATCTGCAGTCCGTTTCTCACCTGTATATCAGTGCAAATCTTCCCGGCATCGACAACCTCTCCTAGGAAGTTCTATAGCGACTGAGCTTCAGTAATAATGAATTGTTCATGTTTAATAATTAGGTTAGTTGTCCTATGGGCATGTGCACTAATGAAACCATCGCTCAGCCTGACCTCAGTGAATAAACGCCTGGCTTTGGCCGAGTCCGATGAAACTCTGAGTCCATCCAGAACAGAACTCAAACGCTCTCGATCCGCTGGATAAATCTCGTAACGGGGTGTTTTACGACCTACTCTGAACCAGCGCCAGTAAATCCAGCCGGAGAGACGAGGATCATCACCTTGAGCCGGATATCAAACCTGCTGATGATGGATCGAGATGCTGAGTTTCTCAGCTCAATCTCTCATATTAATATTAATATTCTGGCCAGTTTCATGAGCGCTACATCCATACTGTCTGCCACTGGATCCATCAGCACCTCAAGCGATTAAACATGCAGGAAAACGTTCATCGTGAGACTCGACTTTACTATTACTCTGCAAGTTCTTCATAAACTAATTCAACATAATGAATAAAATATTTAACTCTAGATCTGGTTCCTGAAGGGAAGGGAGGGCGTAGGATGGACAAAACAAAGTGAAAAGGATGATCGAATGAGACAAGAGTGAATCTCTGTAGTTTCATTGCTACCTTGATACCAATGGGAATTTGTGTAGTCAGTATAAGCAAACAGAATAGAAATAGGAAACGGAAATCCAGGGCAAACCAAAGTAGAAGACAATTAGAATGATATCTACCATATAATGCAGTTTGTTTACCATAGCGTGTCCAATGCCTGAGTGCTTTAGGAAAAAAACAAGGGAAGGGAAAGAAAATATATAGAATAATGACAAATCGTGAAGTCAATAAAGGTCTTTTAAAAGGCAGTGGTCGTAGCCTGTTAACTGTCCGTTTCATTGCCTTGCAGTGATTTTCCCAGATTAGGTGTCGTTCGAAAGCTTAAACGCTCGAAAGTCATCCTGTGAAAAGCGTTTTGAAATTGAACACACAAGTTATGTTTCCAAATTTGGAACATAACTTGGTTAGTCGTATGAGACCTTACAGGCCAAATTATTTCGTAAAATATGTATAAAATAAAGTTTTTTAAACATTCATTTTCCAAATTCTTCATGAAGTTCTTGCAAGTTTAGATCCTCGGAGCGAGTGACAGTTAACAGGTTAAACCAGCCTGGCTCTTTCTTTTCCTGATTTTGTTTTTGCCCAAAGGAATAAAGATCCAAATTTACAGAATTCTTTCTCTTCATTGAAGGATTTGTCAACCAAAAGAAAAACATGACAACAGTATTGTTATTATGGTTAGTACGTCAGTACGCAAGTTAATTCTGAAGAAAACAACAGATGGCCCACATTCCGTGAATGACACGATGTTAGTCGTTTCAAAGGAACACAAACAGGTCAAAATGAAAAGTAAACTGTAAGAATCTGAAGCTGTTTGGTTAGTAAGAAGACACAAGAGTTAGGAAACCACGTGGGAAGATTAGGGGAGGGGCTGACTCGAGTGGGAGGGGCTAGAGGAACAGCAGTCGTTCTGATTGGCTAGTCCTGTGAGTGGGCGTGGCCTGTTTGCGGACGGGGCTCGTTACTGGCAAATTTGGCCAAGCTTGGTTTTTGAAGTAGAGCAAGAAATCGATCTTCTGTGGCTGACGACTGAAAGGAGGCAAAAACACAACAGCATGAACAACATGAAAAGGAAAACATCTTATTTGAACTTTCAACACGTTTCAGAAACATGAAAA